TGTGTGTGTGTGTGTGTGTGTGTGTGTGTGTGTGTGTGTGTGTGTGTGTGTGTGTGTGTAAACTGAACAAAGCAAGAACTGAAAGAGAGTCCACCTCATGCAAACCACCCAGCCTTCATGCTAGAACGTAAGAATTTGCAAAAAGACCCTTTAATTTCATCTGAGGGTTTTTGAAGTGATTTAGAACAACAGTCTTGTGTTTCTGAACCTCCTTCAAGGTTTTCCTTTGAGGAAGAAGCTGCTTTCCTCTCACCTTCAGTCCCTGAACACTTTCAGACAAATGTTTGCTTCTCTTATTCTCATGTTTTTGGTGACACTGGTGTGTGAATCACTCAAACAGAAAACATCCAACTCAACGCTGTGGAGGAAAACAAAGTGACAGTTTCAGCCAGTCACAAAGACTAAACTAATTTCTTTGGATGAATCAGTGAAAAGTGTGTAAAAATAAGTTGGACATTTACAACATCTTATTGTATCATTTCTGTATCAGTCAGTGGGCTTCACTGGTTAATACTACATGGTGAGGGTGGGCACAGAGACTGACAGCTCAGCTCCTTCACCACAACAGACCGGAACAGAGCTCACAATACTGAAAAGGCAACTTTTTGATCTCATACCCCATTCTTCCCTCACCCAAGAACAAAACCATGTGATGCTTGTCCACAAACTGATAACCACTTCTGTGTCCATCTTCACGGATAAGGACAACGTTTTGTTGACAAGGTTTTAATCAGGTAAAAGTAAACATTTAGTTTAGTGTTTTCTAGTCTTACAACCCATTTTTACACTTTTCCTGGCAAAACATCGAGGAAAAAGTGCTGGCTGAAGACTATTTCAGGACAAATTTGGGATAGAAGTGTGGGACTTTGATGATAGAGACACACTTTAGTCTAAAACTCTTAAGTCAGGAAAGATAAAACAGACACTTTATAAATGTCAAACATTTACAAGCTACAAAAAAAAAAAAAGGTTAAAAATAGCATCAGACAGCACTTTGTCTTCCCTTCACTGCTTTCATCAGGTCAGGACCTGAATCTGTGAGTCACACAACTCAGTAGGTATTGTTTTTGTGGGAAAACCAGGCAAAACATTAACTTCTTACAAACAATGTCAGCCTGGCGGGTACCAGAGACACCCATAGGAATAGGGCGTCTGACTAATCTTAAGAGATGTGGATTTTGTGAAAACAGTTTCCATTTTGGGCACCATGAACACTATTCATCCCTCTTTGTCATTTTAGAGGTTAGTGGTTAGCGTTAGCTTCCGCTAATTTTGTTTAGCTTCATGTTAAGTGGATTATTGGTTAGTGAACCTAACATTTTGGTTAGCTAAGCTCACCACTGAATATTTCATAAAACCTTAGATTAGGTTGTTTAGTACTTCATTCTTTTACTCTTACTATATGTTTTCTTTTTTTTAACCATCCCTGTGAATCTCTGAACTCAACYGAAGGTTTGCCTCAACAAAAGGAGCTTGGGTAGAAAAAGTCCGGAGGAAATGAATTTAAATGAGTGATGCAATGTTTTGTGAAGCAGTGGAAACGTTTTGAAGTGGGAGCTGTGCCGGTACACAGGTGGATGAGGGCCACAGCCCAAATGGTAGTGCTGTAAAGAGCAGAACTGAAGTGTTAATATTTACCTCCTGGTGACAGATTGAATGTTTCTCAGACGTCATCTCTGCAGAAAAGACGTTCAACAAGCTGAGATCTGGAAGATGTCACTAAATGTACAATAGTAACACAGATTTCAGCTGAAATGACATCAAATGTCTTGTGTTTTAGTATAAATACATGATTTCCCCTCATATTTTAAACACTTTTTAATTAATGTTTATAGTTTGCAGTGTTGTTTGGGACTGGCAAATTGATTTCCTTTTGCTCTTCATGATTCTGTATCTGACCAACAAATTAAGTGATTTTTTTTGTCTGATTATGAGGGGCTTTTAAGTCTTTCAAAGCCAGTGGAAACTCTTTTGTATTCATTCTACATCTAGCCTGGGATGATTCAAACAATTCAAACTTATGGTTGGGTTTCATTCTGACTAACAGAGAAGTTTGTCCCTAACTAGGGATGCACCGCAGGGGCAGAGTGCCATTAAGTCTACCGGGAGTTTTCCCGGTGGGCCGATGGGCTGCCGGTGATTTGGCGCGTAAAGGTGCTGCCATGCTCAGTCCCATGGTCACCGCAGTGCGCGCTTGTTTTGGGCACCATGATGTATCTATAAGCCTCCAGTCAGCTATCTGCTCAGAGCACGGCTGGCCGCGGAATGCACTTCTACACGGTGCAGATTAATAACTGATGACTGAGAATCTTCACCAACATTATAAATATAAAATTTGGTAGCACAGTCGGTAGAGCTGTTGTTTCTCAGCAAAACTGTTGCTGGATCGAATCCCAGCCTGGGATCTTTCTGGGTGGTGTTTACATGTACTCCCTCTGCGTGAATGGGTTTTATTCCCAGTCCACCAGTTTCCTCTCATGGACCATAGACATTTAGGCCTTTAGCTTCACCGGTACACACTGTAGGTCTCAAACAAATGTTTGCTTTGTATATGTAATTATTTTGAACAAAATCATGTTCAAGTCAGAGGAACTTAACACCTGCAGGTAAAAATGGACCATTTTGTCAGGAACTC